ATATAGCCAATGTAAGACACACACCCAAAACTGACATAAAATCATGGATGGACAGTGGAATTGTCACCCTGCTGCAGAGGACTGAATAAAAATGTAGCAGCTTAAAAATGAGATCGTGCACTGCACGGCTCATAGGATACAGATGACTACCTATGAAACTAAATGTCACGTTCAAAAAAACATGTAGTCACTGAGAGCACCGGGGTTGGAATATACTTTCCATTGCTAATCTTAGAGATAAGTTGATACAAGGTCAGTTACCCTTCAGAAGTCATCTCCTGCTTTCTAGTGTCAAACCATGAACAACAGAACGTGTTCTTAGGGTGAGCCAGTCACACCCACTGCTTATAAATAGGGGTATAGAGAGCAATAAAAGCTTTTATTTCTGGACTGCTACAAGTCCCAGTGTGCTGACTAGGTGGTGGACTCTGAGCTGAACGCTGTCACTCTATGAGATCATGTGTTTCCTCACCTACTTAGTAACCCTTCCATGACAGGCAGTACTGTATTTACTATATAGGTAAGGTAGGCACACGCCTGCGACAGCCCTGCACCAAGTCTTCTTATTTCTTGCTGACTTCACTGTCTAGATCTTCCCTCTACAGTTCCTGATGACAAGATGAACAAGCCAGCACGATGACAGGGTCACCTTCTCTTTATATATGTCCTTCTTTACTTATTACCATTACAAAATAACATAACATACATGATCATAAGAAGGGTATGAGCTTGTAGGATGCCCAATTACCAAAAAGCTCCCAGGGCAGCATCAAGTCTCAATTTATGCTAGCAGTGATAATTTGCATGTGGGACATATTGTAAGTCAGGGTCACAGTTGTTCAGAACAATCTATCAACCCGAGTGTGGTGTTAATTTGGTCACTTAGTCATTCATCAATTGACAGTAGCAGTTCCCAGTAATAAGTGTTCACATTTTGTATAAAACAGCAGCTTGCATTGACAGCACTACCTTGTCTCTCCTTGACAGCTGCAGGGCACAGTACCTCAAGAGCTTACACTCCCTGTGGTTTCATGTAGGCAAGGAATTATTATTATCAGGAAGGACAAGGAAAAGTTAATGCCTTGGACTCTCTGCCTGGCAGTCCCACGCTGCATCTGCGCTGCAGAGTGCCCTATGATTTAAATATAATGTCAGACAGCCACCTGCTAAACTAATTTGGGAAGCTCGTTAAGGAATATCATTTATATCTCTCCCCCTCCCTGTCCCTCTCTCTCTCTCTTTATATACACATATACCATCTTTATAAGATTACGTTGGTTATCTTGGATCTGACATACGTGTATTTATTCTATGTCGGGGATTTTAATAAGATTTAGGTTCACTCCCTTCATTTCAATCATTGTCTTGTATGCTGCCTAAGAACTAGTTTTCTGCACAGGGTTACCCAAGGGCAAACACGCTGAACTATCTACGTACTGGCAAACTACCCTTGTACGACACTGAATTTAAGTATTTGTGTTTCCACTTACAAGATCATTTCCCAAGGGATATCCTATGTGGTTACACAATGATAACTTTTTTTTGTTTCAACCATCTGCTTTTATGAACTCCCAATTCTCCATCGGCGCATCCTCTGGTACCCAGCCAGACACCTGGAATCTACATGAGAACTCTAATGTGTGGACTTTGCTGGATACTTCTAGAGGTCTAAATGGGTGGTCCACCAAGTCCCCTCTTAGCTTCTTTCTGGTCACCCCAGTGATACTTTACACTCATTAGGAAGAACATTTTGATAATAAGCTACCCTGTAAAAATCTTACTATACCTTAGTTTGTATTTATTTGAACGTATTTATTTGAACGTGCCATAACCTTTGGACAGTTCAATAGATTATATTAAAAACACAATTTACTTATCTTTGAGTTATATCTACAGTATAATTCATTCTTGTCTGAAAGTGATAGGACTATTCGACCATACCTGGAGGTGATAGGACGGTTTCGACCATTGCTATCTGCAAGTGATAGGACGGTTTCGACCATTGCTATCTGCAAGTGATAGGACCGTTTCGACCATGTCTGCAAGTGATAGGACCGTTTCGACCATTTCTATCTGCAAGTGATAGGACTATTCGACCATTGCTATCTGCAAGCGATAGGACTATTCGACCATTGCTATCTGCAAGCGATAGGACTATTCGACCATTGCTATCTGCAAGTGATAGGACTATTCGACTATTGCTATTTGCAAGTGATAGGATCGTTTCAACCATTAATATCTGCAAGTGATGGGACTATTCGACCATTTATATCTGCAAGTGATGGGACTATTCGACCATTACTTATGATAATCGGGCAGTAGTAGTTGTGTTAAGAAACACAGAGGCCTCGGAACTGTTCATTATCAGTCCCAGAGATTTGCTGATGTCTTGGAAATTCTGTGCACTTTTTTTTCAGGATCCTTTCCTTTTCTCCACAGACAAAGGAAAGATTCCTTCTTTGAGAGTATGTTGGTACTCAATGATCTCTGGACTAAAGTTAATACTTTCCAAAAAGACATCAATGGGGCAGTCATGACAACAATTGGACATTCTCAATGAGAATCCATCCAAGCTAAAGGCAGAGGGAAACTGCTGAAAAGAGCTTTGCAATTTCTTCTTACCTCCATGCCTCTGTGATGTCCTGCTCTGAACCTCCCTTGCAGAGAGTTACTGGCTCCAAATATCCCGTACAGCTGTACATAGGATGTGCGTGTCAGAGGCTTCCTCACAAACATCTATGGGACAATGTCTTGTCTGACACAACAGTTGGAAAGCAGTACAGGGGATCTTGGAGATGTTAATGAGGGAAATTCAGAGCAGAACATTACATGACCAGAGGTATAATGAAGTTTGTAGGATTGTCTCCCCAGGACCCCCTTTCAGTCAAATGGTTTCATTGGCATAAACCTTAATCTGGTCATATGAAGACTCATTTTTTTATTAAAAATGTCTTCCTGTGATATCTACCAGCATACTGGAGAATGTCTACAGGCAATTAAGAATTATTGTCTTTAATTAATAAAAATTGTCTTTTTACATTTTTTTTTCATATGTTGATAAAAACGTGTGAGGAGCATTGAAGTGCGCAGCAAGCTTGATTAAAAAAGATGAGATTTCACCCTATATATTGCCAACCTTGGTGGTACTGACAATGGCAGCATTCCAGAGAATCCCAGGAATATGTGCTTCATTATATCCATACAAATGCGGATCCAATGAATGATTCTATCTCTGTCTGTCTGTCTATCTATCTATCTATCCATCCCCTACTTGTTGTAAATGTCATTGTATCAGCTGATTGAGTGCACACCCAGCACTCCATCCACCTGTCACCTGGTGATTCTGGTGACTCCTAGACAGACATCGGACTCCCTGTGTCACCAGTACAGGGATCCTGAATGAACCCAGGCTCGGGACTGGCACAAAGTGTGGGAAAGTTGTCTAATGAATGCAGTGGAAAGAGTGAGTGAACACAGAATGAAGTGTAAGAAAGCAATGCACAATGAAATGAGGACAGACAAGGCGCTTGCAGGTGACCACTTACCTTCTGATGTGCCTGAGTTACAGGTTTAGCCTCTGTCCTTAGACACAGTACAGCCAGCACAAGTCCACAGCCAACGATATGACAGAAGTGCATCCTGACTCTAGGACTCAGTCGGTTCAGCATACAAATCCTCAAGTGTTAGAGCAATAACAATTCAGCTAGCACAAGAGCTGAAAATGACTTTAGATCCCTCCTCCTCCTCCGACTCGTTCCTTGCTTCTGTAACACTCATATCAACACCCCATTCATTTTATAAAGCCATAGCGGTGACGTCACCTAACAGATAGGAGGTTCACAGCTTGTAACTCTTTCATTGTTTACTGATCATAATGGGCGGACACTGGTATAAATCAGGGTGCCATGTCCCCCCCTATCCCTCCACTGGTTCCATAGCTGGACAGTCTGCAGAATCTTCATAGCAAGGTTCTCAGCTCAGAGGGGGTAAGAGGTCTGCTCTGTCTGCACCAGGAGCCTCAATGGTTAACCTATCCCTGGCACTTTCCAAAATCTGCTTTATTCATTAAAATAAAAAGGGAAACAAAAGCAGAGATGTTTGAATATAAATTGTGGACTTTTTCTTAATGGGAAAACAGGGGTAGCAGTCTAGTCTGGGGTTCCCAGACCTATATTTCTCCCGTCCTTTTTTTCCTCTACCCTGAATTGTCTAATTACTGTAACATTTTCATTCTTTGCTCCGCTGGCTGTCACACTTAGTACTGATGTCTGTATGTTTGGAATCCTCTGTGGGCTGTCTTTCTCATTATGTGATTTTGCCACACTGTGTTGCTATGGAATAGGAGAAACCTTGTTTCAAAAGCTGGATCCGGGATGACCCGTCTGTACATACAAGCTGCACACTGACTGTCCTGCACTGAGGACATCGGAAGGCTAGCCAGCAGAGAACGATTTATAATTGTGCAAGGACTGAATGGAGGTGTACAATGGTAGTTTTTAGTATAGCACTGTGCAAGGGTGGTGTACAATGGTAGTTTATAGTATAGCACTGTGCAAGGGGGGTGCACAATGGTAGTTTACAGTATAGCACTGTGCAAGGGGGGTGTACAATGGTAGTTTATAGTATACTATACTATTCTCTGATGCTGGTGTAGTCACAAGGCTTACATTGATGAAGGACTAAACTCTGCATAGTCAGTAAAGCAATGCAAAATCTACATGGAAATCATTATTGTCCTGATGTTTCTGTCTTCTTATCCCTCTACCTCTCTCTCTGCCTCTTTCACTCCCTCTCTACTCTACCTTTTCTCTCTCTTCCCCTTCTTGCCCCCCCCTTTTCTCTCACTCTCCTTCCCCTTTCTCTCCCCCCCCCTCCTCCTCTTTTCCCTTTCCTACTCCACCTTTCTCTC